TATCATCTATCTATCTATCTATCTATCATCTATCTATCCATCCATCCATCTATCCATCCAGTCAGCCAGCCAGCCAGCCACCCACCCACCAATCTCTATCTCTCTCTATCTCTCTCTCTATCCATCCATCCATCCACCCACCCAACCTAACCCATCCACCTAACCTACCTACCTACCTACCTATCATCTATCTATCTATCTATCTATCTATCTATCTATCTATCTATCTATCTATCTATCTATCTATCTATCTCTATCTAATCTCTCTCTCTCTATCTATATCTATCTATCTATCTATCTATCTATCTATCTATCTATCTATCTATCTATCTATCTATCTATCTATCTATCTATCTATCCATCCACCCACCCATCCATCCATCGATCGATCCACCCACCCATCCATCCATCCATCCACCCACCCACCCACCCACCCACCCATCCATCCATCCATCCATCCATCCATCCATCCCACAGGATGGAACTCACATTACCTTTTGTCAGAAGATGGAAGAGATTTGGGGGGCTCTATCCTTATGGCGGGATCCCACTCCCCAGGAGGAAGCACAATTACTTCATCTAGAAATTCATCAATCCCAGCGATCAGGTCCTGCCTGTCTTTGGCTTTGTAGGCTATGTCATGAAATACCTATAAAGGGATGAATGAAGAAGAGATCAGATGCAAAAAAAAATGCCCTCTAAATATTTCTGCAGAGATATATGCAACTATACATCATAACACCCATCTATCTGTCCAGATAAGCCTTTACTATCGATAAAAGAGTTATTTGTAATTCAAGGTTGAAATGAGGGGGTCCTTGGTGCTTTCTGAGCAGAGGTTTCATATAGCCAAGCTAGGAAACATCATCACTGCTAATAAGGAGCGGGGTTTGTTCTCAATTAAATTCCTGACAGGGCAAGATACTAGAATATAAATGGAGAGCAAACCCCAGTACTAACACTGACGATGTTACTTAGTTTGGATAATGAAATGTCTGCAAGAAAACAACCAAGGTCAGAGAGCACCAAGGATCTCAAAGTCCCCCTCCTCCTCCTTTTCCTCTCCACAAACACCACTCCCTTCTAGCACTGATAGTGTTACCTAGTTTGGTAATGAAACATCTCACATCAAGGACCCTTCAAGCCTTCACTTCCTACTCTGGCCAACGGCCTTCCAATTTTAGAGAAATGGAGATTTCCTATCACTTGCTCTATGACCTGTTGAACTCAACCTGGGCTTCCTACTGTCTCTAAGGCCATATACCCAACCCACCACATCTCTTTCATTGTCCCGAGGTACTCCCTTCAACTACACCCCCCAATTTCCTAGGTGCAGATGTGTGTTTTGTATGCATGTGTTCCAGAGGAGGAGAGCCACCCCTGAGAAAGTATCGAGGAAATAAATTTGCCTGCAATTATTTTCCCACCGGCGATCAAATTCAAACTTCAAGGAAGAGATATCTCTGACGAAATTCCCACGAGCAAAAGCTGAATGTTGTAACTTCGAAAAGTGATGTGGTTCACCGAGCTGGGAGTGAGTCAACGGCTTGGCAGGTGTGAATATGCCTCCTTTCCCGGTATGACCATCGTTTCAATCATCCCTCACTGCCCACACTTCAAATAAATCCCAAGCCAAGACCTCAAGAACTGAGTGAGATCAGTACAAAGACTATACGCTCCAAAGACTCAAGGGGAGGCAACCCTTAACATTTTTTCCAGAAGCGCTAATAGATTAGCACAGTCTGGTCTCAAGGAGACCCACAAACATTTTATCACCAAGGCAGATTACCTCATCCGACATCAACGTGGCAATGGCTCGGCCGATTTCGTGGTAGGATTTTGCTTTGCCTTTTGGACCCAGCAAGATGAACAGGAACCTGGACACCCCAGGAAGAAAAGCAGCGTTGTTATCATAGGCAAATCCACAGGCGATTTTTTTATTATTATTAAGAACGTTTACTGAAGTAAAAAGCAAATACGAAGAGAAAAAAAATATATATGAAAAGAGGGAATGGTTAGATCAGAGGAGGCACAGCCTCCAGCTGCATAATGGATGGAGGAAGAGGCTTGGAAGGGACTGTCCTTACCTTCTCCGGGTGTAAAGAAGACAGTGGGAGTACAAAGAAAAGCAACAAAGATGATTAGGGGACTGGAGGCTAAAACATATAAAGAACAGTTGCTGGAATTGGGTGTGTCTAGTTTAATGAAGAGAAGGACAAGGGGGGACATGATAGCAGTGTTCCAGTATCTCAGGGGCTGCCCCAAAGAAGAGGGAGTCAAGCTCTTCTCCAAAGCGCCTGAAGGCAGGACAAGAAGCAATGGATGGAAACTAATCAAGGCGAGAAGCAACCTAGAACTAAGGAGAAACTTCCTGACAGTGAGAACAATTAACCAGTGGAACAACCTGCCTCCAGAAGCGGTGAATGCGCCAACACTGGAAGTTTTTAAGAAGAGACTGGACAGCCATTTGTCCGAAATGGTATAGGGTTCCTGCCTGAGCAGGGGGTTGGACTCGATGACCTCCAAGGTCCCTTCCAACTGTATTATTATTATTGTTGTTGTTGTTGTTCTTGTTGTTGTTCTTGTTGTTGTTGTTGTTGTTGTTGTTGTTGTTGTTATTATTATTATTATTATTATTATTATTATTATTATTATTATTATTATTATTATTATGAATGGAATTATCTCATCTGGCTGTGTTTCCTGCCTGGTTCACCTGTGATGGCTGATAGTTTGGTGAGGGGAAATAATTTCAAAGAGAGGCAATAGTCTCCCAGTTCCTCCCAGTGAGGAACACCTACAAATTAGCCCATATGACCATCCAAGACAGAATAACAGGAGTAGGAAGGGACCTTGGAGGTCTTCTAGTCCAATCCCCTGTTCAAACAGGAGGCCCCTATACCAGGGGTAGGCAACCTTGGCTCTTTTATGACTTGTGGACTTCAACTCCCAGAATTCCTGAGTCAGCATGGCTGATTTAAGAATTCTGGGTGTTGAAGTCCTCGAGTCATAAAAGAGCCAAGGTTGCCTACCCCTGCCCTATACCATTCTGGACAAATGGCTGTCCAGTCTCTTCTTAAAAATCTCCAGTGATGGAGCACCCACCACTTCTGGAGGCAAGCAGTTCCACTGATTAATTGTTCTACCTGTCAGGAAGTTTCTCCTTAGTTCTAGGTTGGTTCTCTCCTTGATTAGTTTCCATCTATTGTTTCTTGTCTTGCTTACAGGAGACAAGAATGGGTGAACCCCTTCTTCTTTTGTGGTAACCCCTCAAATGTTGGAAGGCTGCTATCAGGTCACCCCTAGTCCTTCTTTTCATTAAACTACTAGACATGCCCAATTCCTGCAACTGTTTTTCATATGTTTTAGCCTCCACTCAGACATTCCAGTTGTTGTGCAGCTGTCACATAAAAACATTCATTCAATCTCCCCAGGTACTGTAAGGATATCATAATTAATCATGTAATGTGACGATGCCCATAAGCTTTGCAAAGGAGAGTTCTTTACATTCAAATTAAGGAATTCCTGCCCAAAGTCCTCTTATCTTCCTTCTCATTTTGTTGCAACAACAAATTTCAGCTGACATTTTTTTTGGGGGGGGTCACTACTATGCAGATACATGCCATTTGCTTGTGGGCGCAATTTTCGGAGAAGTAAAAGCTCTCACTGCGGTACCTTGCAGTCGCCAAGGGCATACATTATTTATTTTCAATCAGCTAATGAGAAGTGCCATATAAATAAATAAAGAGGCTCTGAAGAGGGCAAGAGGCTATATGGCAGCAAAATAAATGCCTTTTTTTTTTTTTTAAAAAAAAAAAGAGAGCAAACAGCAAACACAACATGAGGGAAATTAACAGTTCTACAGGCGCTGCATTAAAATCAACATTAATTTTCCCAGGACAGACATCCCGCATGTTAGTTGGGGCCGTGCGGGCTGACACATCCGTGGAGGGTTTCTGGAAAACTTCTAAGTGGCCGTTCAACAGCACTGAAAAAAAAGAGGTTTTCCAGAAACTCTCCGTGGAAAAGAACGTATTTTTGTGACGTGGCTTATTAAAGCAATAGCACTTAAGACTTATATACCGCTTCGTAGTGCTTTTACAGCCCTCTCTAAGGGGTTTAATAGAGTCAGGGTATTGCCCCCCCCAAAAAAAATCTGGGTCCTCATTCTACCGACCTCGGAAGGATGGAAGGATGAGTCAATCTTGAGCCGGTCAGGATCGAACTCCTGGCAGTGACCAGTGACTTAGTCTGCGACACTGCATTCTAACCACTGCAACACTGTAGCTCCTTCCTTCCTTCCTTCCTTCCTTCCTTCCTTCCTTCCTTCCTTCCTTCCTTCCTTCTCCCTTCCTTCCTTCCTTCCTTCTTTCCTTCCTTCCTTCCTTCCTTCTCCCTTCCTTCCTTCCTTCCTTCCTTCCTTCCTTCTAGCACTAGACTTCTATATCGCTTCACAGTGTTTTACAGCCTTCTAAGCGGTTTACAGAGTCAGCCTATTGCCCCCAACCATCTGGGTCCTCATTTTACCCACCTCGGAAGGATGGAAAGCTGAGTCAACCTTCAGCCAGTCAGGATTGAACTCCAGGCTGTGGGCAGAGTCCGCCTGCAATACTACATTCTAACCACTGCGCCACCACGGCTCATATTAAAGCAATCATTAGGATTGCAGGTTCGTTTTTCAATTTTCAATTTTCAATTTTTTTTAAACACAGCAACAGGTAGAAAACATTCATTTACCGAGTCGGTACGGGGACTTCGGTCAGAGCACCAAGCATGACTGCTTGCTGTAACCGCACGAAGGCAATAAAAGGGTTTTCCAAGAAGTCAACTTCTCCAACCAAAACGTTGGAGGCCTCAGCATCTCGTGGTAACTTCTTCATGAATTTGTTCTTCAGCTGAAGAGAAAAAGGAGATGTTTTACTACACTCGATCTTAGCCCAAAAGGCCGAGAAGCAGAAGTTTTAAAGGACTAAAAGACTCCCGCAGAACTTCCTTCGCATCCAACCAGAAAGAAACTTGTAGATGTTGTGGTTACCCTCAGGGGTAGGATTCAAATATGTGAACAACCGGTTCTCTGTGTGGATGCTGCTCTTCCACAGACCGGAGTGTGTGTGGTTTTGTGTGCTGCCTGCATCCCACGGATGGGGCTTTGCTTGTTTGTGCGGACTAGTTGCTGGCATATCGCGGCCCGGTACCGGTCCGTGTACCGGGGGTTGGGGACCCCTGATCTAGTCCAGGGCTTTTCAACCTTTTCACCCATTGTACCACTTTTAGGATATGGCAACATCCGAGTACCACCAGTCGCCTAGCAAGGTGTCAAAAACTTGACCCGCCAAAGAAGGAAAAAAGTGATAAAGTACAGGTAGTCCTCGACTTACAACTGTCCGCTTAGTGACTGTTTGAAGTTACAATGGCACTGAAAAAAGTGCCCCCCAAGCCACAGCCGAGCAAGACACCTGCCTGCCCACCCGTCGGCGCTCTTCCTCCTGTCCGAGGTTTTCATTGTTGTGAGCATTTCTGTTGAGGATTGGCAGCAGGGATGGGGTGGGGGGGTGTTGGTTTTTATTCCCCCCGTCTGCTGGGTGGTTGCAGCAGGTTTTGGTCACTTCACATGACCCTGGGACACTGTGACCGTCATAAATATGAATCATTTGCCAAGCATCTGAGTGTAAATCACAAGACCCTGGAGATGCTGCAACATTCCAGCTGATCGGCGCTTCTTCAGGGCTCAGCAGAAACACCAGGATCAGCGCCGAGCTCCAGCTGGAGCCTGGCGTTGATCCCGGCGCTTCCGCTGAGCCCTGACAGCCCCGAAGAAGCGCCGATCAGCTGGAAAGCGGCACTGATCCTGGCACTTCCGCTGAGCCCTCAGGTGCTCTGGAGAATAGCTCCTGAGGGCAGGACAAGCAGCAATGGATGGAAACTAATCAAGGAGAGAAGCAACCTAGATAAAATAAAATAAAACAGATAAAATATTTTCCCAGATGGGTCCATCAGCAGCACTACGTCAGCCAGCATCTCTGCAGAAGAGAACTCAATACAAAGCAAAAAATAAAATAAAAAAATGGGGGAGAAATTGCTCTCAAAAATAGCTGAAGCCGCACAGAAGTCTTTACTGCAGGGGTCTCCAACCTTGGCAACTGTTAAGACTTGTGGACTTCAACTCCCAGAATTCCCCAGCCAGCTGGGGAATTCTGGGAGTTGAAGTCCACAAGTCTTAAAAGTTGCCAAGGTTGGAGACCCCTGCTTTACTGCGTGCCAAAGAGGCAGACCAAAGAAGGAACACAGTCTCTCACGTCTGCTTGCATATTTCCCACACAAACTGCAGGCAACAATCACACCAATTGTCAATCGTGAGGGCCATCTGGAAGAGCCAAGGGAAATATAACTCTACCATATATTATTGATGGAAACTGCATAATAAATTATCTGGCCTAATGTGGTAAATTGAATGCAAAGGTTTATACAGTAGAGTAGAGGATGGGGACAAACTAGAGATTCCACTTACTTTATTGAAAAATAAGTGCGGATGAGAGATAATATAGCTGTAATTGTTCATCCTGTCCCCACCAGGTCAATACTCATGCAGGGAAAGGCCTATTATAATATTATAACGAAAGAGTCATAATCTTCCATTATGATTTCATTACAATGAAAGATTAGGGGGCTGGAGGCTAAAACATATGAAGAACGGTTGCACGAATTGGGTATGTCTAATCTAGTGAAAAGAAGGACTAGGGGAGATATGATAGCAGTGTTCCAATATCTCAGGGTTTGCCCCAAAGAAGAGGTAGTCAAGCTATTCTCCAAAGCGACTGAGGGCAGGACAAGAAGCAACAGATGGAAACTAATCAAGGAGAGAAGCAACCTAGAACTAAGGGGAAACTTCCTGACAGTGAGAACAATTAACCAGTGGAACCACCTGCCTCCAGAAGCTGTGAATGCTCCAACACTGGAAGTTTTTAAGAAGAGACTGGACAGCCATTTGTCTGAAATGGTGTAGGGTTCCTGCCTGAGCAGGGGGTTGGACTCGATGACCTCCAAGGTCCCTTCCAACATGATGATGATGATGATGATGATGATGATGATGATGATGATGATGATGACGACGACAAGAAGCAACGGATGGAAACTAAGCAAGGAGAGAATCAACCTAGAACTCAGGATGAATTTCCTAATAATGAGAACAATTAACGAGTGGAACGGCTTGCCTTCAGAAGCTGTGGGTGCTCCAACACCGGAGGCTTTTAAGAAGAGACTGGACAACCATTTCTGAAAAAATGGCATAGGACAGTGGTGGCGAATCTATGGCACGGGTGCCAGAGGCGGCACTCAGAGCCCTCTCTGTGGGCCCGCGCTCCGTCGCCCCAGTCCTAGGCCTTCAGCTGGGTTTTATAAAACCTTTTCGCTTTAGGCTTCCGCCGCCGTGTGCAAAAAAAAAAGAAAAAGGTTCAAACAATCAGTCAATTTCAACTTCTCGCGGGGAAAAAAAGATCTCGCAAAGTTGGAATTAATTGATTGAACTTTTTAGTCCCACCCAGTCTGCCTTTACCACCACAGCCACACCCACCCAATGGGCAACACCCACCCAATGGGCAACACCCACCCGGCATAAGTGGGTTTTGGGTTGCGGTTTGGGCACTCGGTCTCTAAAAGGTTCGCCATCACTGACCTAGAACTAAGGAGAAATTTTCTGACACTTTCTAACAATTAACCAGTGGAACAACCTGCCTCCAGAGGCGGTGAATGCTCCAACACTGAAAGTTTTTAAGAAGCGACTGGACAGCCATTTGTCTGAAATGGTATAAGGTTTCATGCCTGAGCAGGGGGTTGGATCAGATGACCTCCAAGGTCCCTTCCAACTTTATTATTATTATATCACATGCCTTTCTCTCTGACTCGTCTTTCTAGCCATGGATAAAAATTATCCCATGTTCTAACTTTACGAATTTCTCACTTAATACACGAACGTGGGGCCCAACTGTAGTTGTAACCCTAGATTACCAACTTCCTTTCAGACAGGGGTTAGACATGCGCTATTTTGCAGAAGGTGTGCCTTCTTGCTTCATCGCTGGAGGTTAATTCAGGACATGAGAGCAAACACGGGCACTAACCCAGATTGCCAGGGAATGAAAGGTTAGACAATTGCCAGCCCCGATGAACGAAAGAAAGAGGACGCTGAGTAAAGTCTTACACAACTCGCCCGAGGAATAGGCTTCCCATAGCAGGAAGTTCCGTCTACGGGTTGTTGTTTTTTTAAGACCAAGCGAGAGCTATTCTTCAACCAAGACAACCTCTTTATAAACTTTAGAATTAGCATGGGCAAAATGAGGGGTGGTGGTGGGGGAACGGTCTTTCCCGTTGATATGGCAACGCGGGAGTCAGGAAAGCGCCACAAACACAGAGACACAAGAGACTTCTGTCCACAACGTCAATTCAGTTGGCCGAGGCCATCAAAACAGACTCTGCATCTTAAGCAGGTGTTCTCCATCCCCAACAACAGAAAACCATGAGTTTGGTCTTGAAGACGGTCAACCCGAATACCAATTTTCATCTGTGACCTGAAAATGGAATAAAAAGCAATTCCCCCCACCCCCTTGACAGCCCCATCCCCATTCATTTCTGCAACTTCAGATATTTAAAATATAAGCTGTTGGGTGAGGTGGGGACAGGCCATTGAAATTCACTGGGGGTGGGTGGGGGGGGGAAGGAGGGTTGTCAAGGACATTGAAACGAAGCCCAAAGAACGGAGAGCTTGGAGAACATTTCTGGAGGAGGGCGAGGGTCCAGCTTCCTGTAAAGAGTTCACCTAATCCTCCCAATAAGAGAAGCATTTAACAAGGATGAATTGTGCATCTGTTCTGCTCAAAGATACTAGAGCCTGTTTCTGTTTCCAAACAAACACAGAGGACACCTAATAGTCCCTTTCTGAAAAATTCCTGCAAGTTCTCAAGACACGCACTCTCCTCTGAACTAAGGTCACTGCCTTCGTAAGCTGCAAGGAATTTTTGTGAAATTTGCAACCTGCAGGACAGAAGTAAAAAACAAAACTGTTGCGGAAAGACTAAAATTACCTACCTACCTACCTTATCTATCTATCTATCTGCAGTATATCTATATCTATTTGTCTGCTATGTATATATCTATCTATGTATTATCTATCTATATCTATTATCTATATCTAACTATCTATATAGCTATCTATCTCTACAGTATATCTATATCTACCTGTCTGCTATCTATCTATCTATCTATCTATCTATCTATCTATCTATCTATCTATCTATCTATCTATCTATCTATCTATCTATCTATCTATCTATCTATCTATCTATCCATTATATCAGTCTGTCTGTCTGTCTCTGTCTTTATCTGTCTGTCTATCTATTCATTATATCAGTCAATCTGTTTACCCATTGTATCAGTCTGTCTGTCTGTCTATCTGTCTGTCTGTCTATCTATCTAATCTATCTATATCTACAGTATATCTATATCTATCTATCTATCTATCTATCTATCTATCTATCTATCTATCTATCTATCTATCTATCTATCTATCTATCTATCCATTATATCAGTCTGTCTGTCTGTCTACCTACCTATCTATATCTACAGTATATCTATATCTATGTCTGCCATCTATCTATCTATCTATCTATCTATCTATCTATCTATCTATCTATCTATCTATCTATCTATCTATCTATCTATCTATCTATCTATCTATCTATATCTACAGTATATCTATATTTATCTCTGTCTGCTATATATGTATCTATCGTCTATCTGTCTGTCTATCTGTCTGTCTGTCTGTCTGTCTGTCTGTCTGTCTGTCTATCTGATTTTTATCCTGCCTTTATTTCTTTATAAGTAACTCAAGGCAACGAACAGACCT